TTAAGATTAAATGGTTATGTTAATGGGAGTTATACTTACTAAATATCATGTTAGTGGCAATAGTGGGTGTAATTATGCATTTAAATGTAATTGTTACACGTACATATGTGAGGCTTATATAATTATGTACTCTAGTCATTTTAGAATAAGAGAAAGTTAGAATCAAGTGAAATAAAATTATTTTCCTCCATTCAATTATCTTCTAAATTATATTGAGTTGTATTTGTTTGTCTAGCCCACCTATTTCCAACAAAGTGGTATCAGAGCCAAGTTATGTTCAGAGCCTAGACGATCTTGAAGGCCTGACGAAGTTGACCTAGAAGGTTCAACATTTTGAGAAAAACATATTTCTCCTTGATGATGATGAAGAGGGGAAAATGTATTTTCTTAGTCAGAATATGATGTTCTCTAATTACAAAAAAATGAGAATCATCATGACTTCATACCTCAAAGTATGTGATTTGTGGGATGTTGTTGGTGAAGAGCCAAATTAAGAATGGCATGTCCAACAAGATTCGTGTCAAAAAACAAGAGAATGCATTGGTAGTGTTGCAAAAAGCAATACATCAAGAAATTTGAGAGTATTTTGGAAAGTCCAAAACTCCAAATTGTGTTTGGAAGATGCTCGAGACTATCGTTTCCAATCATAGAGGTGAATCACTACCCATAGAGTATTGGGTGCAACGCTTTGAGGATGATGAGTTTACAAAGGCTGATTATGAAAGTTTTGAGGACAAATTTGTGGAGAATGAAGAGGAATATAATGCAAATCAAGTTGAAAAATTTGAAGAACAACTTGAAATGGTGAATGAGGAAAAGGTAAAGATAGCTGTTGAAAAAGAGATTGAAAAAGTTGAGGAGAATGAAGTTTAAAGAGAAGATAAAGAAAAAGTTAAGGAAAATGAAGTTAAAAGAGAAGATAAAGAAGAAAAATAATATATATATATATATATTTGAAATTTTATTTTAAGTAATATAGTTACACGTAAATTGTTTAACTGAAAATGATATTGCTAATAATAAACAATTTTAAGGCACAAAGTATACATTTGTTATTGGGAAAATCTCTGCAGAGTATAATATTTTTATATACAACCGTGTGGCCACGTATAAAATTGAGGGTTGTACTAGAGAGGAATTGTACAGATCATCGAGAGGAATAAGGTTAAAGCCGAAAGCTAACGAGTCACCTTAATGGAAACGCAACCTAGCTGACTGAAGATCCTAAGATCTTAGTTCAAAGGGACAACAGAAATTCTGAGTGACTCACCAAAAGCACTAGGAAGATATAAATTTGCTACCCATTTCTATGATGAGATAGTGCTACCTACAACGAAGATTAAGATAAGCTATGCTTTTAATGACTCTTATACCTTGAAAATTCAAGTGGGTTATGGTAGGATACTCTTAATAAGAATGTTACCTATATGAGTGTGAAGTGGGGCCGCTTTAATGAGAACTATAAAGGCTAAGTTTTTTGGAGCACTCATTGAATACCAGAAGTTATTCAGGGCCAAAATGAACACAACAATGAAAACCAACTATGTGAAGAAGGGAACTGTGTGTTTGCTATTGTCTTGGTTTACATCAATTCAAGACATCACATTCACTGGTTAGCTAGTAAATATGATAATAATACACTAGGGAAGGTTAAAGGCCAAAAGCTTCCAATCACGATGTAGTAACTTTCTAACTATACTCTCTCTAGTGTCTGCATGATCATCTTTTACATTTAGGCAACCAATTTCCATTTAGGTGGGGGATTGTTAGAATTTTTGAATGAAAATTGTTTCATCAGTCATTAACAGATGCCTTTGACTGAATAGGTGTAATCATTGGTTAGTTGTGAGATGAAAAGATGTAACACAAAACCAACATGCAGACATAATCGATCTATTCAATGTGAATCATTGCAACCTATTGCAATGGGTGTGTTTGGTGATGAATAGGCACATATAAATGGTTGTGTCCAGTGATGAAGAGATACATATAAATGGTTGTGTCCAGTGATGAAGAGATACATATAAATGGTTGTGTCTAGTGATGAATAGACACATATAAATGGTTGTGTCTAATAATGAAGAGACACACCCACTCCGAAAAAGACACTTCTATTTCTATAAATACCTTTTTGGACTGCTATTTGGAAATGGTTCAATTCATTTTCTTCTCTCTCCCTCTCTAAACTTGAACCCAATTCAAGTAGGTTCAAACCATAGGTCAAGTGGTCCGAGCCACTTAAATCCTAATCCAATTTCATCGAGCCATATTAAGATTGGTCCAAATCATTTGGTTCGAATTGCACCAAATTCAGCATTTATATAGTATAGATGCATTTTTGAGTCAGAAAGAGTATTACACGAAGGAGGTTCGCCGTATCCACAAGTTTGTAGTGCTGCTACTGGTAGATATAGAACGTTATATCCTGGGAGACAAGCGCCATAGATTCCGTCAGCACCATGCGGGGCGTAAATTGTCTTAAGGATATAATATCAAATACTAATTTCGGTCCAGGTTCTTTATTTATTATTATTATTTTATTACTTTAATTTGCATGTTTAATTAAATATCGAGTTGAATATTTAATTAATTATTTTTTAGCATATTATTAATTATTTAATGACATATTAGTATAAGGTTAGTTATATCTTAAATGTCATATAAAGCATATATTTTTCCAGCACCAATTAAGTCTACCCACGCATGATAAATATTATTTAGATATCATATAGAAATAGAATCAAAAAGAAAGTAAAGGATGAAAAAGAGAACATCAGATGAGATTACCAAAGAGGTGAGAAGATAGATGAAGAGGTTGAGAGATAGATTCAAGGGGTAGTCTAGAGAGAATGAGGTATTGAGAAAAGCAAGAACGCAACGGAGAAGAAGGCATCGAGGAAGAGTTCTCAAAGTCACAATATATATTATTCAGTAATCTGAATACTTTACTTATATATAAAAGCTTAAATTAAGGTTTTTAATCATGCCTACTGTTATTTTTGGTGATGTATAGTTTTAGATCCTTAAAAATAAAAATAAAAAAGTATAGCTTTAGGTATATTTTACTATTTTAGGGTTTCATAGGGTTTGTTTATGTTTTGCTACATAAAGGCTTCTATATAACTGAACTTTGCCAAAAATAATAATAAGCGTAATTGAAAGCCCTAATTTACATCAATTATTTGTTATTTATTTATTTATTTTTTCTCTTCTCCAAAAGTAACGTTGAACACATGCACTTCGTGTGCAATAAGGCACCCTGTTCCCCATCGATTCTCCCCGGTTGAGCAGAACTCCCCTCCAAAGAATAAAACGGATAATACTGCTAATAAAAACTCGAATCAACATGGGAAGACTCATTTATACTGCGAGTGATTTCTATAGATGGATAATACTTCCATCGTGATCATCAAGAACATCATCTGTTTCATCCAAATGTCATGGTTGACATGGTAGAAGAACAAGTGTTGGTGTTGAAGAAAATATAAATGCAACTGTAGGAACACAAACTAATAACGGAGGAGGCTCAAAGCTGCCTTGGTTAGGTGACAAATAGTCCACATAAAATTTTGGACTAATATTATTATTTGATGGCAAGTCAAATAAATATACATAAGGCCCAAAATTATAAGTGATGTGGAACTGACAAATGACTTGGGCTTATAAAGTCTAGAATGAGTCATAATGAAGAAGTAGTGGTGGTACACGAATTCGAACATAATCTCTTTCAATAAATTTATGTTTCCTAATATGAGCATTTACATTAAGGCTCCCTTTGTTTCCCTGTAAAATATTTTTGGTAAATTATTTCCAGTGTTTGGGAGACTCTAAGGTTATGAAATTATTTTCCATGTAAACCACTTTACCCCCAAATGACTGAAAATAATTTACCAAAAAAGTTTTCGTAAGTCATTTTCCACGTGCTTTCTTGGATCATTTAACCATTCATATTTTTTATTGAACCCCTATCCCTCTAACAACTAACATTTTCAATCCTCCCAATCTAAAAATCTAATCTTTAGTCTTTTCTCTCTATCTGTATATATAGAATGAGAAGAGAAAGAAAGAGGGACACAAATTTGGGTTGGTCAAGCAACAGATTTGGGTGGAGAGCATGTTCTGGTATAGAGAGAGAGAGTGGAGAGAGAAAGTTACGAGAAGGAGAGGGATTGATGGTTTAGCGTAGACAAATAAAGTGACGAGGAGAGAGGGGGGGGATGATTTTTTTTTGGGGGGGAGTGGGGAGGGTGATATATTCCTTGTTAGTGAGGAACACTAAAGAAATAGAGATATGCCATGGTGGTGAGGAACACTAAAGAAAGGGAGAGTTAATTGTGCGAAAAAACTAATTTAAAAAATATTTTACGAACTATTGCCAACACCAAAAAATAAAAAATAAAAAAATATTTTACATAAAAATATTTTGTTTAGAAAATACTTTACTCCAAACAAAAGGAGCTTAAGTTCATAATTTTTATTACTCAAAACAATATGTCATGAAATTCATGAAAGCTGGAGAAAGGAATCAACAAATTTAAAATAATAAAAATATGAAGGCATATGTATAAAGTCAATGCACCAGCTTGTAGACAACAACTTCACAAAGCCATTGCCATTACAAAATTTTGTTTATATAAGAGAAAAATTAGACGTTGAAATTTTCTGCATTAAGGGGTAGTGTTGAGAGTAGTGTAAAATTTACGTTGATGCAGGTTTGCCTCTTTTCAAACCAACAATTGGAAGAGAGTTTATGTTTTTCAGTAGTCCTCTTCTGTAAGACTGTAACAGGTTGTCATTCCCGTAAATGAATCCAGCAACATTGCTTCCTAAAACAACCTAACAACATATGCATTTGCATGTACACACTATGAACCCTAGCTAAAGAGAGATCAACGTTTCTAATATTTTGCTTTGACATTGAACTTTGAAGGCAATAAGGAACTTAATCATTGTAAGCAGAACTTTATATATTACTAGCAAAAACTCAAGGAGACATGGAATTTAATCATTGTAAGCTGATCTTTATTACTAGCAAAATCTCTAAGGAGATTATATATATTACTTCATATTACAAAAAACAGCCTAGCATACATTATTCAGTAGTACTGTCATTAGAACTACAGTAGGCTAGGCTAGCTCTATATGATGGTTGAGAACGTACCTAATGTCACTGTATGTGACTAGTAAAACACAGTTATTTATTTTGTGAGTTACAGTTCTAAAAAAGAAACTCTTTTTTTGTTTTAGAGTAATTAGCAGAGTAGCATCAAAACCAAATAACTCCCGCCCGCTTAAGCCATGGGACTAAGGTCCCGTCGAGGTGAAGACTAGTGATCTCATTAGCTCCTCCAGCCAATTCACCACCGATGAACACTACCGGCACCGTATTGTAACCAAAATTCGACAGAGCCAGCTCGATTTCTCGACCTCTGGGCATTTGATCGAGCTCGTGAATGGCCGGGTCAGCGCCGAAGTTCCTAAAGAGGGTTATGAGGGTGTGGGACATGGGGCAAGAGCTTCTAGTGAAGATCACTAGTGGCCTTTCAGACACCATTCTCTTTACTCTCTCCATTAATTGCAGTGACGTGAAGAAAAATTAAGCTATATGGGTAAGTATATGTCAACTTCAAATGCCAAACAATGACACAGATCGAGCAATGTGAGTTGTGATGGTTGAGAGAACACTATGGTTTGGCTATGACGAAAATTGAGCCCCATGGGGGTATTTATAGGATGGTTTATAATGGTGGTGGATTCTACAATTTTTTCGCTAGAAAAGAAAAGTCGCCCAATTGAGGGAGAAGAGAATATTTTCCTTTTTTTTTTTTTTTTTTTTTTTTTTTTTTTTTGTGGTTTGGTCTATGTCCTTGATTGCTTGCTGACAGAGATGATCAATTCCTAGAGATAGGCAATAAAAGTTGCAAGATAACGAATCTGTGCACAATAGGGACGTGACTACTGGTACGGCTTCGTATTACATGGATATATATATATCTACTGGTACGGCTTCGTATTTTATATATATATATATATATATATAGGGCGGAGTCAGAATTTTAATTAAGAAGGGATACAATTTAATAAAAAAATAATTCAACTAACATTGATGTACACACAAAAAGAAGAATTTAAATAAATATATATATATATTGAGATATATTTGAAAGAAAAAAATTAAAGTATGATTCAAAAAAAATTTTTTTTTTTTTTTAAAAAGAAATTTAAGGAATTTAAAGAACAAAAGAAAGAAAAAGTTAAGATAATTTTAGAAATTAAAATTTTAGGCCTTAATTGGCTCCGCCTTTGTTAATATATATATATATATATATAATTTAATTTTTTTTATAGGGGAAGGGAATTATGAGGTGACTTCAACCGAGCTCCCATACAACTATGAAGTGTACCTTTATTTATTTCTATATATTATAAATTAATTTGCCAATTAGGCCTAGCCGACGAATCACATAATAATACGTTCGACTCACACAATCGATCGGCAGACAGTGAATCAACCTAGTATAGGACTTTGTAGAAAGTGAATATATACGAGGATATGTACCTGCATATGGTGTTGACATGTTGTGTGAGATGATTTGTTAAGATTTTATCAATCAAGTTTAATTAAGGTTAACCAAGATACATGGTTCCGTGGGTTCAAGTATGAAAGATTGAGAATTCAAGTATTTTTAGAGTGCGGGTTCTTTGGAAGGACCAACAATAAATAAATAAATAATGCTTATTATCATGGAAGGCAATGGGGGCAGGTTGGGACAAGTTTCTCATTCTCCATTTTCATCCCCGTTTAAACTTGGCACCTTCAAAATAGTCCCATAACCTATTATTTTTTTACTCCTACTCCCAATAACCGCTCCCGTCCCATCCCCGCTTGCCCCGCCCCTACTCCATCCCGCTTTAGAAGATAGGAATGAGTAAGGTTTATTTAGAAGTGTATATATATATATATATATATAAATATAATATGTTAAATCGGTGTTCATCTCGTGTCCGAACCATGTCTACTCCGTGTCTAATAAAAAATAATTTCTAGACACTTCACAGAAGTGTCAGATATGTGTCCGAGCTTCGGACACGCATATCCATGTCCGACACCAATACAGAATTCCTGAGAGCAGTGTCCGGTGGTTTTTACACAATAGAAAGATAAACTATACAAAGAGTCAAAATGGCAACTAAGAGTGCTAAGAGATATGATGTCCATATAGTTTGTGAGAGAGATTTGGTGACACGTGTGAACACTTCTTAATAATATAGAGGCTTTTTAAAAATGGTGAATATATACTTATGCAAAAAAATAATAATAATAACATTTACACAAATTGTGACGAATTGTGATAAGGGCAGCCGACAAGAAATAAGGTTATTTTTGTTTATTATGTCAAAGTGGTCCAATTAATTTTTGCCCCGCCACTAAAAACTTTCAGCTCTCTCTAGATGTGTTGAGGATAATCTGGTGTGTTGGGGAAACAAGTTGAATTTATCCATTTGGGACCTTTCTTTTTTCGACAGTGATAACACATGCTTTTGCTATTCGTGACCACAAAATGCTGCCTTTGGCTGCTGAGAGAACGAGAAAATATCCAAAGAAAACTGTCACCCAGACAAAACCTTTTCTGTTTTTTTCTTTGTTTTTTTTTTTTAGTATTTATCTTGTGATTTTTTTTAATTTAAGATGCAATTTTAAATTTATATGGCGATAGCTAGATAGACATTAATGTTATATATTTTAATGTATATTACACTTTATTTTTTTATACATTTGTGTTTCATATTTTAGCAAACTAATTGACTTGTCAATTGAAAAAAAAAAAAAAAAATTACACTAAGTTTCTCTCTCTATCTTTAATTTGTTTTTCTCTACTGATATTTTTTCATTATATATACAAGTGTAATCATTTATGTATATATTATCTTCTAGCCTCGCTATATTTTTCAACTACTCTATATCTTTGTTGAGTATATATTTAATTAAAATTTAACGGTAATCAGAAAATACCAAATCAGAATATAATTATAAAAAGTTTTACCTGAACGATGTAAATTATGATTCTTATTCACCGGAAAGAGTGAGTTCACTCATTCATGGTAAAATTTGAATTATGAAAATTAGGATTCTTATTCACCGGAAAGAGTGAGTTCACTCATTCATGGTAAAATTACAGCTTCTACTTTTAATTATTTGAAGATTTAATATAAAGTTCTCCCAAACCAAGACTGGCAAAATTGAAATAAAGTTATTATATTATATTATATTAGGGTTTTCTCTCTTTCTTATATTTAATTAAATCTTTCCTATATTAAAAAGATTACTTTTAAAACACAAATAATACAAATAAGCCGCTATCTAATTCAAGATAAAATCACAAATCAAAATTCATGAAATATAGCATTTTTTATTTTTTAGGATCATATTTATATATTTATCTATATTTATATTTATATTTATATACTCCACATATATCAATCTCAAAGAATTACAGGCTCAAGTGGAGAATAACTTGGTCTGGGTGTCATCATGTCTAATTCAAGATCAAATAACAAATCAAAAATCATGAAATATAGCATTTTTTATTTTTTAAAATCATATTTATATATTTATCTATATTTATATTTATATATATTAATCTCAAAGAATTACACGCTCAAGTGAATAATAACTTAGTCTTGGTGGCATCATGTTTAAGATCAGAATCCTCTAAATTGCAAACAATTAAGGGAAAGGTGTGTGCGTGAGAAAAATATATATATTTATATCTATATCAAAAATTCATTTTCTGTTTTATTCTCATACTTCAAAAATGTTATAAACTTATAGTAGTCATAGGATTGAAAAATAGAGTTCTATTTTTCCGAATACACAAACAAAGTCTGGGAAAATCCAGATATCACATGACGTCTTCAAAACGTCCCATCAATTCCAAAGGTATTTCACCTTCACAAGCTTATCGTCATCGATCCGAATCTTTGAAATGCTCACTTGCTCAGTAAAACATTAATAAAATAAAATAAAAAATACACGTATATATATATATATATGTACACATACATAATACATATATTTATATATAGGCCATTAACTTAAAAGCATGTAAAAGTACCGTACTTATCAACATATATTGGAATCTTGGCTTGTTATCCGTTTCACCGTGGCGTACATATATGCCAAAAAAATAACAATAATAATAACGATGATAATAATAATAATAATAATAATAATAATAATGATGCATGCACACCAATAGATATTAACATATATATTGCATCTTCTTCTTGCATTCAAACCTCACCTCACTCGCATAATAAAAAGCAAAACACAATCTGACAATATTTTAAAGTCATAACAACAATTAAAATAAAAGTATGACGAATATCTTTAATTTGTAGTATACATGTTAATCACGCTCGTCACCCTCATAATCAAAATTAAAACACATCCACACGTGAAGAAATTTTAAACTTTTGAAGACTATTAAACTTATATATATATATCGGATATATATATGTATATATCCATTATAATGGGACCCTAGCTGTAACTGTAGGTAACATGTGGTGCATAAATCATTTTAGTATATTAACTAATGTATATATACTTTAGTAATACCTTAATTAGCCTAGTCTTGAATGTCCAAATATGGAAACATGCATGTACATATCATGCATGCATGCATGATGAAGGATGAGAAAATAAGATGAGAAGAAGATGCGTTCATGAGATATTGCATGTATAAGGTCCCTAAAGCACCAATGGAAAGTGGGTGGTGCGCGTTTGGGAAAGGAATGTCGACTTTATGGGCATATATATATATATATATAAGATAAAGATGAATGCGAGGACGGTTCTCGGCATCCCACAATTTGTTGTCGAAAAAAAAAAAAAAAAAAAAAAACATCTCTCTCTCTCTCTCTTATTCCTTCTTGAAGAGGACAAATCGTGGAAAAGCTAGCTCTATTATTCTTTCTCGAAGAGGACAAATCATGGAAAAGATGGCTAAGGAACAATATAATATATTACTTTTTGACCACCTTTAATTAATATTACCTTTTAATTATAGGTGACTAATAATACTTGTCCCACGGTCAATTTTATCAAATATAAGGAGGTAAAAGAAAATAGAAGATTTTACGTTTTTTTATTTTTTTTATTACCAATCAAAACACTTAGGTCACATAATTTATACTTTAGGTTTATTCAGTTGCATAGAATTTAAAATTAAAATTAATGAATTTTAAAAAATTAATTAAAAAATTAAATTAAATTATTTTTAAAATTTTAATTTCAAACATACAATTTCATGTAGCGAAACACAATCTTTATGTAATCTATGTAAAAATCATTTTCGTTGTAAATATGAAAGATAAATAATACATCTCAAGTCAATTTCGAAAAGCAGAAACAAAACGTTTCATTTGAACAAAACAAATCATTTGACGGCCGATGTATAAAAAAAAGTCTATCTATTATTCTGATTTTGTTCTTTAATATTAATCAGCTATATAGCATCACAATCCGCCAAAATCTTACTAAGATTGGATTGCAATTTGAGTGAGATTCCTCGTGTTGGCGTGTATGCATGAATATGTGAAATCAATATCATTATCGTCCCTGATCTATCTCAAATATCTCTCCAACTTGCATGTACTTTGGCTTCTTAAGATATTCACTTACCCGTTTGACAACTATAGTTACTTTGTGTTTTTATTT